TTTTCCGAGTGTGGGCAACTAACCCGACGGCTCAACTCATTTTTTTTATAGTTCTTATGGGTGAACTTGAGGCACATATTAGCTCCATATTTCATTGGGTAATGAAAATAGCTACCCCAGGTGACACCGCGGGGAGGTCAGTGTCCACAATTGAGATGAAAGTGGGACCAAGATAAGCCTGGACTTCGCTAGGTTAAAGCCAATCAGAGCTGTTGCTTGGTATCTATCATCCCCTACGCCAACCTTACTTAAGGCCTGGATTTCTAAAAAAATATATTTTTTTCATAATCTACCCACGGCGGGAATTTTTAACAAGACCTTGGTTAAGTCCCTAATTTTTGTAAAAATTTATTTCTTAAGGTCTACCAAAGGCTTGTATTATTTAAATATTTTTTTATTTTGACGGTCCAACAAAGGCGTCTTTGGAAGATCCCGAAAAAATAATTTTTAAAAAGTCCATGCCTTTGTTAAATCCCTAAATATCATTTTTAAAAATTCCTCCCCTTTGGTAGATCATGAAAAATAGTTTTTATGTTCTTTGTTGTTGTTGTACATTTCCATTAATTCCTTGGCAAAAAAAAAAATAAATGTACAACCAAACAAACAAATTATGGCAGCAGCAATAGTAGCATCTCAATTAATTTATGGCAAGAAGTCAACAAATTCATTTATGATGGCAGAAAATATTGATCTCCCCCTGACGTCTATCTCTAGACACACTATGTGTGTGTGTGTCTACAATGCGGTAGCCTGATCTGAATATTCTTCCGATTACTACCTAGGTTCCAATTTTAATTTTTTTCCTCTTCTGTCATAGTGAATAAAATATGGAACCATCATGGCCCAGAGTAAATAAACTAAAAACGATCAAACCAATTACATGGATCCGCAATGGATCTGCTGTTTGTTTATCAATGAGTTTAATTTTTTGTATTGTCTTGAAAATTTAAATATTATTTCTCTCTGTTCAATTGAACCCCCACATGTCACAACAAAACATGTATATTTTTAAAAACAATTTGGCATCGAATAATAAACAATAAAAATAAATATTGAAAGTTGTTCTGGGCGGCTAAGAGATGGAGGTGATGGGGTTCGGAATTTTTTTAAGAAAAACTTTAAAGGGTCCTCTATGGGAAAATTACTTCTTGTAGACCTTTCACAAGGATACCTCCTTCTATGGATCTCTCATAATTAAAATATCCACTCTCTCTCTCTTTCTCTCTCCCTCTCTCTCTCTCTCATCACAGAGTTCTGTTATTAATCTCTTCAAAATGATTCACAAGACCCCTAAATTACATAATCAAGATCACGAATTTTTAAATTAATTTTAACAACAGTCGATGAATTATTTTTATTTTCCTGACGGTGTAATTTGGAATATTGACTGGACAGGCTGGTTAGCTGGCCGGTCGATGTGCGTTGGTGTTATTTTTATGAGCGCTGGTGATGGCAGGAAATAACCCAGATTCTACGAAACGAAACAGAAAAAAAACGTTCATTAATAAATAAAAGTCATTGCGTAACGAAAAATGAACAAACCGCCGAACGAATTATAAAACCTAAGGCAACCATCATACCCTCTCCACCTCCTGTTCCCAAAAGTCTCAGTATTCCCACTCCATTGCCAATGCAATTGAGATCAATTTATTTGCAATGAGTGGGAGGTAGTAGTGATCACTGCAGGGAGGCGGCAGATTATATCACCACCTTCCCACTAACGAGGTAGAATCTTAAAAAAAATAAATCCCCATTAAAGGAGATTCCGCAAACCGTCCAGATCCACCTCGTGTCGCTGTAAGCTGTAACAGCACGTTTTGGAAGTATTCCAAATTAAAAGATTAATGGAAAACAATTCGTTTTATTTCAATTTATTTTCCGAAACTACTGAGGATAAAAATGGACTGGACGCATGACTCAGGGTGGGTGGTTAACGGAGAGAGATTAATGCCAATAGTCGTAGATCAGATAATTTCAAGATCATGAACGTGTGGACACATGCCGAGTGGACAAGGACAATTAAGTTTAAGGTTTTTTTTACTTAATGATCGTTTTAGGTAATCAATTGAATAGGAGAAAAAAAAGAAATACGGATATTAGCTGAATTATGTGATCACATTTTTTTCTTCTTCTTCTTCAACTAGGAAGATATGTAATTGACAATTAAGATCTGAAACGAGATAATGACACCACACTTTGAACAGATGCCGTAATTAATTTTGATAATAATACTCGGAAGCTGAGTGAATTTTTCTTTTTTATATACAAAGTAAATCCTCCTCAGACAATAAGCCTATTAAGCAGATCATCTCGGAGTCAATAGAAAAGTTTAAAAAATCTCCTCCCTTTCAAAAAAAAAAAAAAAAACAAAAAAATAGTCCTCAGCGGACCTGAGAAATTTTTTCTATACACAAAAGTCTCCTCGAAGCATTGAGAATTTATTGTTTCTATAGAAAAAGGTTCCACAGATGTCTCCTCGGAGCCCTTAGGATTTGTTTCTATAGTAAAATCGACCTGGCGATTTTTTTGCCTCTGTGGAAGCCTTGAGGATTTTTTTATACCTATTACCAGGGTATTATGTCTTTGTGCATGTGTTTGTAACAGGCAACAGGAAACGAGATAGACACATGGTTCCTTTTGAGAATGTGCATAGAATCACTTTCTGAGTCGATTTATGCATGTCCGTCCGTCTGTTCTTGTTAAATTGAAAACAAAGTACAGGTAGCATTTATAATCCGAATTGGATGAAATTTGGCACAGCTCATTTATTTGGCCCAATGACGAACCGTATTGAAATTGGGAAAATCGGTTCAGATTTATATATAGCTCCCATATATATTTTCGTCCGATTTTAGGTAAATGGTGCAAAAAGCCCCTATGTATCCTTCGATTTGCACGAAATTTGTGCACCGCATACTGAATTGAGTCTGGAATAATGTGTGGTGAGTTTCGTGAAAATCGGTTGAGAAATATATATAACTCCCACATATATTCTCCTCCGATTTAATGTAAATGGTGCACCAAAGTCCCTATATATCTTTCGATTTGCACGAAATTTGGCATGGCATACTGAATTGAACCTGGATTGATGTCTGCCAAGTTTCGTGAAAATCGGTTCAGATTTGCATATAGCTCCCATATATATTTTCGTCCGATTTTATGTAAATGGTGCACTAAAGACCCTATATATCTTTCGATTTGCACGAAATTTGGCACAGTGTAATGAATTAGGTCTAGAATGATGTGTGCTAAGTTTCCGGAAAATCGGTTCAGGTTTAGATATAGAGCCCATATATATTATCGTCCGGTTTCAGGTAAATAGAGCACCAAAGTGTCTACATATCCTTCGATTTGCACGAAATTTGCCATAACGTACTGAATTGAGTCTGGAATGATGTGTGCTGAGTTTCGTGAAAATCGCTCCAGATTTAGATATGGCTCCCATATATATTTTCATCCGATTTAAGGTAAATGGTGCAACAAAGTCCCTATATATCTTTCGATTGGTATGAAATTCGACATAACGTACTGAATTGAGCCTAGAGTGAAGTCTGCCAAGATTCGTGAAATTCGGTCTAGGTTTAGATATAGGTCCCATATATAGTATCGCCCGATTTAATGTAAATGGTGCACCAAAGTCCCTATATATCTTTCGTTTTACACGAAATTTGGCATGGCGTACTGAATTGAGTCTGGAATGATGTGTGCTAAAAATCGGTTGAGATCTAGATATAGCTCCCATATATATTTTCGTCCGATTCTAAGTAAATAGTGCAGTAAAGCCCCTATATATCCTTCTATTTGCACAATATTTGGCATAACGTACTGAATTAAGTCTAGAAAGAAGTGTGTTAAATTTCGTGAAAATCGGTTCAGATTTAGATATAGCTCTCATATATACTTTCGTCCGATTTTATGTAAATGGTGCACCAAAGTTCCTATATATCTCTCGATATTTTTAAAACAAAAGATATTTTTAAAACAAAAAAATATCTACTTATTTAAATAAAAATCTAAAGTCATATAATAATTTTCAGTCTATAAATATTTCAAAACAAAAAATTCAAAAAAAAAAAAAAATGTAAACTTTCTATTCTCCAACAACTAGTTCGAAATGTGGAACAAAACTACCATTGAAATATATTGACAATGTCAGGGCCACAGCCTGTGGCGTTAGCGAGGCCTTATCTAAATAAATCTATGAATGAATATTCCAATTTTTTACAAAATAAAAAAAATCAAAATACCCATACACTCACACACAGCTAAATTTTGTAAAGATCAACATTCTTTTTATTTGTTTACTTTACGAAAAAAATACAACAACAACAAAAACAAACAATAAATTGATTAGTTTTTATAGATTTGAAAGAATGTTCGTTCGGTGGTTCTATAATCTAAGCTAAATGTTTTGAATGCTGCGAGAGAGAAAAATAGGGAGAGAATATCTGTTAGATATTGAGCGACGACTAAATGGGTTGTCTGGACTCTAGATGTTGTAGATTATATATATATATATATATATATATATCGATATTGCATGAATGTGTGTTGTATTGGGTTATTGTAAATGAAGAAAAATAGGGAGAGAATATCTGTTAGATATTGAGCGACGACTAAATGGGTTGTCTGGACTCTAGATGTTGTAGATTATATATATATATATATATATATATATCGATATTGCATGAATGTGTGTTGTATTGGGTTATTGTGAATGTTTTACTATTGTGAATGTTTTACCTCTCTTATTTCTTTTTGTATTTAAAAAAAATATTTTTTACAATTTCCCCTTGTCCGGCACATCCTAATATATTTACTCCACAATAAAACTTAAGCACATACACACACACACCACCTCTCACATAGCTTTTTTTCTGTTTAGAATATTGATCTCCAAATATCTACTCTGATTTATTAATGGTGTTCTGTTTATTCTCTCTCTCGTTCTCTTCCACACACTCTCTCTCTCTCCGTTTGGATATAACCACCATTCACAGTGCTAGCAGAGAAAACTTGTATAGCAGTGATCAGCAACATCATAAACAACAAACACTACAACAACAACAACAGAAACATCAACGCCAAACAGCAACAACAACAACATCAGGGCAACAACAGCAGCAGCAACAACACCACCACCATTCACATCAACAGTTATTGCGCCAGTCGTTGATCAACCTCAGTGGTGCTCAGAACGTTCAGAGTACCCCACCGCTATCGGGTAGTCATTCGGATAACAACAGTTATTGTAGCGCCAATACATCGCTCGAACAACCGGAATCGCAACAACAACAACAATTGTCTTCATCTGCCGCCTATTTGCACTGTTCGCCCCGAAGTTCGCGTTCACCATCCCAACACCATCAACACGACCAGCAGCAGGGAAATCCGATCGGTTGTGGCACTGGGCCAGGTGGTGCCAAACTCCACAAATCGATTTCGTGCAGCTGTGAATCGTTGAAATGTGCCGAATCGGTATCCTTGGCCGGAGGTCTTGAAACACCGTCGCCCTGTTTGGCCAACGACGACGAATCGCAACGTCGTAATTTCGATACTAGCACAACAAAATCGCTGAGTCGCAATTTTCGGGATTCGACAGCGTTAACAAAAAGAAACGAAGGAGAAGACGACGAACACGATCAACAACAACAACAACGGGATAACAACGAATTTTCCTTGGACCCTAGCAAGAAATCGATTAGCGGTGTAAGTGTGCGCAGCGGAAGTTTTGGCCCCGCGGCCAGATCCTTTACAACCACACCGTCGTCCACAGGTGATGGTGATCGCCATTCGCTGCCCTACGAAGAAACATCGACAACAGCAACAGCAGCAGGTCAGCGTTTGTCCAAGCAAACCTCGTACGACAGCAGCAGTAACGGCGGCGTAGCAGGACATCGTTCGCCCCAACTGCTATCCCTAGCTGATGCTCGGCACCAGACCCCGGGACCAGGAGCCACTAAGTCCCACTACACACACCAGTACCTGGAGAGCTGCAGCCCCACCAGCCGTCTCTCACAGAGTCCGAACAGTAAAAGCAGTAGCTTGGCCATAGCCGATGCTGAATATCAGGACGCCCAGCAGTCAACCGGAGATTTTACACAACTAGTCGTTCGCAACTTGAGTCATTCGGATCCCATTCGATCCGAACTAGATCCGGAACTCAGCCATTGTCCGGCCTCGTTACTGAAGACCCATTACAGTGACGTTAACATCTACGCCAAGAACGAACTTGATCGCCACCTATCGCAACCGGATAAACAGCAGCTGGTCAATAACGCCTACATCTTCAAGTGTATCGGAGGAGCGGGTCAACAGAGTCCCACATCGTTCCTCAAGACCAATAAAATCAAAGAGCAGACGCGTAAACTGCGCAATCTCTCGTTGAAAACCAATCCGTCGACGGGTAAAAAGAAATCGCAAATCCTATCGAAATCGAACGCGGTCTCCGATAACTCCCTGCATCCGGGTGACAAGTATTTGAATCTCTATTTGGTGGAAAAGAAGAATAAGCAGCCCTCAGCAGGCCAGAGTGCAGCATCACGCCACAGTGCCCCCTTTGTGGTCAACGGAGCTGTGAAGCCCTCGTCATATCCCGCATCATATCGTTCCTCAGTGAAGAGTGAAACAGCCGTAAGTGCCGCCATACAACAACAAGCCGCAAGTGCAGCAGCAACCAGTACCAGTCCCAGTGTTGCCGCAGGTGTTCACGGCAGTAGTCTTAGCGATCATCCGCCGCCGACGCACGTCTCATCTGCAGCAGCAGCAACAGCAGCGGTCGTTCAATCAACTCCGGTCAATTATCAACAATCCAATCCAGGCAACGCCGCAGCCGATACCCCCACCCCCACATCGACCACTTCGACTTCCACCAAACGGCCAACCACGAAACCAGCCAAAATTAACAACAAAGGCTGCAATCTGGTCAACAACGGCACCAAACTTAGCGTCAGCACAAATTCGTGCAATCGTCTACATGCCGGTTCGCCACATGCAATATCACCGAAAAGCTCTGTATCCAGCAACGGTCACCTCAACAAGTATTGTCTGACCGACATCAGTCGCCGCAAGACCGAATTCAACCGCCAGCTAAGCGCCCCGACCGACTACACCCACCATTCGTCGACCAGCAACGGTGCGAGTAACGGTGGTGGTTCGCGTCACTCCCAGCAGGAGGTCCATCAGGTTGGCGCATCCACATCGACGGTAGCCAGTGCCGCTGCGGTCTTCAAGTCGTCCGGCGCCCATTTGTCACAGTCGTCGTCGCAGTCGCACCAACAGTCGCAGCTCCAGTTGCAACAGCTCCAGCAGCTACAACAACAACAACAGCAGCAACAGCATCCGTTACAACAACAGCAACAACACCATCTCTACCATCAGCATCAGTTTCATCCGCATCCGCACCAGCATCTGTTGCAGCATCAGCACCACCACTACCAACACAGTCAACAGCATTTACACCAGCAACAGTTGCCGCCGCATCAGAGCGCGTCAACAACAACAGTATTAACGAAACCGACATCGAATTCGTGCACGAATAGTTTTAATCGTCGCCACATCAAACGGCAGAAAAATACGAAATTAAATGAAAGGTAAGTGCTTCGCGGATATCCTTTTTTTTGCTTTGAGGGGAGAATATGGAAGATAGCCTCCTGAAGGATTTCTTTCTTCGCGATTTTTATAAAAAATATGTTTTTTTCGACAATTTCCACGGGCATTAAGTTTTATAAGAATATTTATGCGTGTCAACCTGAGGTCCTCAATGGTTATGGATATTTTAGAGAATAAGTTTGAGTTTGGTCTACCCTAGGCGTGTATTTTTTAAAGAGAATATTTTCAAGGTCCACCCTAGGCGTGGATTTTTTAAAGAGAATATTTTCAAGGTCTAGCCAAGGCGTGGATTTTTTTTAATTATTTTTTTTAAGGTTTACCCTTGGCGTAGACTTTGGATTGGAGTGGATTTATAAACAGATTTTTTCTTCAGGCAGGTGAATTTTTTAAAGAGATTTTTTCTGACAGATGGATTTTTTAAAATTTATTTTTAGAGGCCCGGATATTTTTTTAAATTATTTTTTATAAATATTTTTGAAGGTCCTCTTTAGGCGTGGATTTTTATACCAGAGTGTGTACAGGGTATTATGTCTTTGTGCATATGTTTGTAACATGCAAAAGAAAACGAGATAGACCCATGGTTCCTTTTGAGAATATGCATATAATTACATTCTGAGTCGATTTATGCATGTCCGTCTGTCCGTCCGTCCATGTATTTTTGTGAACAAGGTACAGGTCGCATTTATTATTCGAATTGGATGAAATTTGGCACAGCTCATTTATTTGGCACAAGGACGAACCCTATTGAAATTGGGAAAAATAGGTTCAGATTTAGACGTAGCTCTCATATATATTTTCGTCCGATTTAAGGTAAATGGCGCACCAAAGTCCCTATATATCATTCGATTTTTACGAAATTTGGCACAGCGAACTGAATCAACCCTAAAGTGATGTGTGCTAAGTTTCGTGGAAATCGTTTCAGATTTAGATATAGCTCCCATATATATTTTCATCCGATTGTAGGTAAATGTTGCACTAAAGTCCCTATATGGCCTTCGATTTGCACGAAATTTGGCACAGCGTACTGAATCAACCCTAGAATGACGTGTGCAAAGTTTCGCGAAAAACGGTTAAGATTTAGATATAGCTCTCATACATATTTTCGTCCGATTTAAGATGAATGGTGCACCAAAGTCCCTGAAAATCATTCGATTTGCTCGAATTTTGGCATAGCTTACTGAATTAAGCCTAGAATGACGTGTGCTAAGTTTCGTGCAAATCGGTTCAGATTTAGATATAGCTCCCATATATATTTTCACCCGATTTAAGGTAAATGGTGCACCAAAGTCACTATATATCATTCAATTTGCACGAAATTTGGCATAGCGTACTCGATTAAGTCTAGAATGATGTGTGCTAAGTTTCGTGAGAATCGGATCAGATTTAGATATAGCTACCATATATGTTTTCGTCCGATTATATGTAAATAGTGTCTATATATCTTTCGATTTGCACGAAACTTGGCGGAGCGTAATGAATTAGGTCTAGAATGACATGTGCTAAGTTTCGTGAAAATCGGTTCTGATTTAGATATAGCTCCCATATATATTTTCGTCCGATTATATGTAAATGGTGCACTTAAGTCCCTATATGGACTTCGATTTGCACGAAATTTGGCGTAGCGTACTGATTTTCGTCTATAATAATGTGTGCAATGTTTCGTGAAAATCGGTTCCGATTTAGATATAGCTCCCATATATAGTTACGCCCGATTTTAGGTAAATGATGTACCAAAGTCCCTGAAAATCATTCGATTTGCACGAGTTTTGGTATAGCGTACTGAATTAAGTCTGGAATGTCGTGTGCTAAGTTTCGTGAAAATCGGTTCAGACTTAGATATAGCTCCCATATATTTTTTCGCCCGATTTTATGTGAATGGTGTACCAAAGTCCTTATATATTTTTCGATTTGCACGAAATTTGGCGTAGCTTACTGGATTAGGCATAGAATGGTGTGTGTTAAGATTCGTGAAAATCAGTTCAGATGTAGATATAGCTTCTTATCTGACCAAATGAAAAATTTAGTATCGGTTGCAGAATGACAATGCATCCAATTTCATTTTACTGGTCCTTTAAAAATGCGACATCTGTTAGGATTCATCTGTTGAATATACCCAAAGTGGTGAAGGGTATCATATAGTCGGCCCCGTCCGACATTACTACTTTCCTTACAGGTTTTTTATTATTTTGAAATTAAAAAAAATCAGGTTAATTAACAAAAATTTGTATTATTTATTTGTATTTGTATAAATATTTGTATTATAATAAATTTGAATTGAATCGTCTTTAAAAATTTAAAATTCAATATTTTCTGGAAAGTAAACAAAAATTGACAGCAGTCATCACAAAAATCATTGCCAGTAAAAATGGATTAGCAAAAAAATATATTATTGTATTTAATATTTGTTTTTGTATTTTTTGTTTTATAAAGGACTCGGTTAATAACCTTTCTAGTGAAGACATAAAAATTACCGGACCTGCTCCTGTTTTTTTTTTCGTTCTGCGTTATTTCGAATATAATCATTCGAATAATTAATCGTTTACAGCTAATTTGCTTAAGCTGTGTCATAAATTGAACATTGATTGAAAATTAACGGATTGTCAGCAATAATAATACGAATTTTGCAAACAATTTATTGTCGTGTATTGAATGTAAATAATATTCAAAACAAAAAAAATCTAGACTATCGATGTTTTTCAAAAAATACTTTTTAAATATTCACTTCAATATTGTTTTAAAAAAATATATATTTTTTTAAAAAATCTACTCTAAAGTCGTTAATAAAATATTTTAAAAAATGTGTGGCTAGTTTAAAACTTCCAAAAAAATTTTTAATTTTTATAAAAATCTCATTAACAAAGTCTATTGCCTTCAATATTGGATTTTTTTTTTCAAATCAACAAATTTATGTGAAATATATTTGTTGTCATTTAAAGGCGTCATATTTTCATGTACCAATTCGGGACTTCCCTTAACCACAAAACGTTAAGTGACAAACAGCAACACAATTAATTACTTTATTAGTGTGAGTGTATGTCTGTGTGTTTGTATTACATTCTTAGAATTATTACCACAACAAAAAAAGATTATTCAGCAGGTTATGTATGCGTAAAAAAATTATCGTAAAAGGGGGATAACAACACTACTTACAAGTAATTGGAGGAAGTTAATGAATTCAAATTCGAATTCAAGCAAAGTTGGAAGAAAAATTTGGAACAGTGTTCCGAAAATGAAAAATATCAAAAAGAAATTTTATAAAATGTTGAAAAATTATTTAAAAATCATAAATTTGAAAGACAATGAAAAATAATTAAAATCCAGTAAGGAAAGTAGGAAAGTCGGACGGGACCGACTATATGATACCCTTCACCACTATGGGTATATTAAACAGGACTATTAACATGAAATTGGATGAACGACTTAGATCAATCCATAAACATGTCATTCATTTGTTACAATGGACTTTAGTGCACCATTTACATTGAATTGGACGAAAATATGTATTTTGAGATATATCTAAATCTGGACCGATTTTCACGAAACTTGACAGATATCATTCCAGGTCCGATTCAGTACGCTTTGCCAAAGTTCGTGCAAATCGAAAGATATACAAGGACTTTGCTGTATAATTTACCTTAATTCGGACGAAAATATATATGGGAGCTATATCTAAATATGGACCGATTTTCACGAAACTTGGCAGATATTACTCTAGGCTCAATTCAGTATGCTGTGCCAAACTTCGTGCAAATCGAAAGTTATTTGGGGACTTTGGTGCAACATTTACCTTAAATTGGACGAAAATATATATGGGTGCTGTATATAAATCTAACCCGATTTTCACGAAACTAAGCACACATAATTCTGGACCCAATCCAGGACTCTATGCCAAATTTCGTGCAAATCGAAAGATATATAGGAACTTTGGAGACCCATTTACCTTAAATTGGACGAAAATATATATGGAAGCTATATCTAGATCTGAACCGATTTTCACGAAACTTAGCACACATCATTGTATGCTTATTTCAGTACGCTATGCCGAATTTCGTGCAAATCGAAAGATATATAGGGACTTTGGTACACCGTTTATCTTAAATCGGACGAAAATATATATGGGAACTATATCTAAATCTATACCGATTTTTACGAAACTCAGCACACATTTTTCCAGACTCAATTCAGTACACTTTGCTAAATTTCGTGCAAATCGAAAGATATTTAGGGTATTATCATATTTTATTTTATTATTAGATATTTTAAGGACTTTGGTGCACCATTAACCTAAAATCGGAAGAAAATATATATGGAGCTATATCTAAATCTGAACCGATTTTCATGAAACTTGGCAGATATAACTCTAGGCTCAATTCAGTACGCTATGCCAAATTTCGTGCAAATCGAAGGACGTATAGTCACTTTGGCGCACCATTTACATTAAATCGGACGAAAATATATATGGGAGCTATATCTAATTCTAAGACTTTGGTGTATCATATAGAGACTTTGATGTATCATTTACATAAAATCCAACGAAACTATAAATGGGAGCTATATCTAAATCTGAACCGATTTTCTTCAACTTCAATAGGGTTCGTCTTTGGGCCAAATAAGTGACATGTGTCAAATTTCATCTAAATCGGATCATAAATGAGAGCTGTACTTTGTTCACAAAAATACA